AGTAAGGTTCTGTCAGTTCACTACTAACTTCAGTGCCTTTATGCCATCAACAGGTATTTGTTCTCGTGCTGTTCCTGCTCTATTTCTTAGACTAGTGGCACTTAATGTGTAGTCTACAATCATACTATCTGTTCTATGCCTTTTAAGTGTAGAATTTAATTCTTTTATATTTAAGGCAGTTACAATAGGCAAAGTGTTCCAACAGAGATTTGTAACATTTTTCTAGTTTTATTATAGTTTATGACAATCTCCACCTTCTTCTTCTCCCCCTCCTCTTCCCCACTCCCCTCCCTTTTCTCCTTCACTTCCTCCTTCTTTTTCTCTCTTCTTTTCCTTAATTCTCTCTTTTCCTTCCATCCTTCCTTCTTTCCTTTCTTCCTTCCTTCCTTCCCTTTTTCCATTCTCCCTCTCTCTCACACATACAGTTTTCTTTGTAATTTTACTCTTAATAGTGTATTTTGAGTCCTTGCTTATATTTTTATTTATCTCTTACAGTTTTTTTTTGCTTTGTGGTTATCATGAGGATTGCAAATCCTTTTTAATTTAACAAGCTATCTTGAAATGATAGCATAATATGATCTTTAAAGTAAGAAAGTCATGAAAAACAGAGAAAATATGTGAATGAAAACTACACTTGCAATCCATTCTTTCTCATATCTTGATGTTTTTCACTTTGGCAAAATCTTCATTAACAGAGAAACTGCCAGAGGATAAACCAAGTTTAGTAGCTAATCCTGTTTCACATTCAATTTACAAGAAGTGTTTTAAAATCTTCTCTTGAATAACTTGCCAGACACTATATTAGACTGATGATTTTTTGACCATTTTACATCTTTCTATTTTGACATTAATATTCTATTTTAATGTGCTAATGTACTTATTTTTAGAAGTTTTTAGTTTTCACACTAAATGATTATATGGATCAAAATGGTTTGCACTCTGTGGTTATAACATTAGGACGTTCTGAATTTATTGGCAGAATTACTCTTATCCATGAGTCTTACACTTTCCTATGTCTTCACCTTTCTCTTCTTTCTTCTGTCTCTTCATTTAGGTTTGAAATACTTCCTGTAGCATTTCTTAGACAAGTCTAAAAGACATATATTCTCTCTGTTTTTGTTTGGGAATATATGTGTCTCTTACATTTCTAAGTGAAAGGTATGAGGTAGTGCACTTAGCATGGTGCATAATCACTTCGATGTGGAGTTAAATTGCTTTCATTTTATTGACGGTTTTTAGATCTATCTTTATCAGGGATATTTGTTGGTAATTTTCTTTTCTTGTAGGGTTTGTGACATGTCAGTATCTGGGCCTCATGGAAAAAACTTGGAATCATCCCTTCCTCTATAGCTGTGGCCCTGAGTAACAGTGATGTGTAGAGAGTCTGCTGAGTAGAAATGGAGATAATAACATTTGGTTGGAAATACATTTGGTTGTTCGCTTTGTGTGGCTAGAATTGAACTGCATTTGTACTGAATCAGGAGGAGTTGCTAACGTTTTCATCAGATGCTCAAGGTAGAGATTGAATAGGATTGGAAGACGTGTGACAAAGAAGCTTGTAAAGAATGCTGGTGATATGGTGCTCAGTGTGGAATGATATTGTGAACATAAAGGTGTCTAATTTGAATGCTGGCCAGAGGCCATCCACTACAGAGGATGCTTTAATAATTAGGTTGGACTAATGAAATCTTTGTGTTTTAGCCCCATACCCAATTACTTAAGCAATAGGTTCCTATTCAAAATGATTAAAGTCAAAGGTCATAAAAGCACAAAATTTCTCACAAAGTGTGATCTTGCTATGGGAATGGATACACTTCTTTAATTCTGAGCCACTGATTTGGCCAATGTTTGGGGAACCTGCCAAGGATTTATTAGCAGATTGAATATAATGGAGTCCTTCTATCTTGGAGGAAGTAAAATTTTGTCACAGAGGAGTGAATATGTATTCTTGATAGTCTTTTTCCTCTTTACCATAATCCCTCAGCTTGTACTATCCTTATGCCTTATGCAAAGCTTTATTCACCATCATGACATTATTTATCTATACTCAATTTATTTAAAGAATTTATTAAATGCAATGTAGTGATGGTCTCATGACCATGGAGTTCATCAATCTGAACACATACATGATCACCCATTAATAGATGGTCTAATAAAATGGTGAGATAACATATTGAAAACTGTTTATATCTTTCATGGGAGACAAGTGTTAGGGTGAATAGTAAAGGGCAGCCAAGTTAGGATCAGACTTCCTTCCCCTCACAGGTGGCTTACTGGAAACTCCCCATCAGACCCCAAAGAATGACAAAGTTGTTAATTTTATCTTTGTGTAGGAGTTTCCAGCAAGCCATCTGTGAGGAGGAGGGCTCTGGTCCTGACATGGCTACCCTATACTTCTCATCCTAACAGTAAGATCTTCATTTCCTGAATTTGTAAATGAAGATGCAGGAGAGAAGTGGCTCCCCTCACTTGTAGTTTTTTACCTACTCACAAAAATTTTGCTTTATATCCCTGCATCTTTGAGCTCTATTGGATTGGAGGACTTGGTTTATAAGGAAGAAATGTTTCCATGAGAAAAGACAGTATTTCCAGTTAAGATGGGAATCAAGATTGGCTATTAGATATTTGAAGTTAGTCTACTGAATGTGCATATCTGTAATTCTTTTATAGTAGTGTCTGTTAAGATAATTCTAATAAAACTAGTGGGAATTAAGGAAAATCTGTTTTTCTAATTAATTTGTAAATGCTAACTTTGAATAGCATAGCACAAAGTGCATAAATATTTTAGTTTGAAGCATATAGTATTTTGTTTTGTAATTGTCAAGTTTTTATTAGCATAATCTAATTGTACAAAAGGACTTCCATTATGAGCAGGTGGCATTTGGGTATTCTTTAGAGGTATGTCAGTTTATAGAAAGGATAGAAGGTGTGGTTTTCATGCTACACACATCTTTCTGTATACTAAGGAAATTTACAGAAAGTACTCAACGCTCTTTCTAAGGACATACAGAGATTCAAAGATACTCAGCATTGTGGGTAGGAACAGTGATTATAACTAATCCTTCCTCAGTATTAACCCAACTAGTTCTATTGGGCTAATCCTGAGGAAGAACTGAGGTTAGGCCAAAATGGAAATAGTCAAGAGTTGGCCTTCAGACCTTTACTAATATGTGTGCTGGTATGTGCTCAGGTGCACGATTACAGTGCATGATCAGAATCATTCATAATTTACAATGAATGATCCAACAAGATGGCAAATTGTGACACTGTCAACAGTAATTTTTTTTTATTTTCTGAGCTTAAAAGGGATGTTATGGCACCTTGTTTTTGGGATGACTTATACACTAATTTCTTTGGAACAAATATTTAACTCTTTCCTGTAGTGAAAGTGATAATAAAGTTTATTGGGAAAGGAATACACTTTCAAGAGACTGAAAGCAGGTTATCTTTAAAGCAAGAAGAGAATGAGCAAAAGTAATTAAATCTTTTAATGCATTGTGAAATGTCATTTAAAAATGGACATTCTTGGAATTAAATTGTTTTTCTGAAGTCTTCAACTATAGATAATATATGCCTGTGTTATCTAAAGAAACTTAATGTGTATCTCTATATTTATTTTGAGACTGGTTCTCTTCATGCAGCTGAGAATGTCCTGAAACTTATTGTTGCTCCAGGCTGGCCTTGAAATTGTCAACCTCCAGTCTCTGCCTTCTAAGGCAGAAATGGTGGGATTACAAGCATGTACCACCAAGTCTGGTTTCTAAGTTTTCTTTAGTTATTAACAATTTAGAACGATAACAATAGCATTTAAGGTAAAAATATAGTTCACATAATGGTATAGAGTATACAGTCAAAAATGAAAAACGGATTTTTTTTATTCTATCATTTTGTTCCCACATGAAGAGACAAAATCTATATATGATCTTTTTTAAAGGCTTTTATTGGTCTTATAATGAGTTTCAATCCACTTAATGTATAATTCTTGAGGAAATATAATAATTAGTATATATTTCATAATTTTAAGACTATTTTGTTTTATTTTTATTTATTTTTTGGCAGCTCTGGCATTTGAACTCAGGGCCTCACTCTTGTTAGGCAGGTGCTCTACCACTTAAGCCACTCCACCAGCACTTAAAACTGTCTTTAAATGCCAAAAGTTAATATTAATTATTCCTTTACAACAGATGTTAGAAGCATTTGAATGGAACAATTTGCCTGCATTGAGTTCTCAAAAATACATTAAGGGTCTATTATGTATTGTTCATTGTATTAAGAAATACAATTTCAAAAATTAATCATCTAAGTCTGGTCACTGCCTTCATGGTGATTATATTTCAGAATTTTACAGAAATGATGAATAATAATTTAGAGAATAAATTTTGGGCCATGAAACTGAGATAACTAATAAAAATAGCATTAGGTTCAATTTATATATTCATTGAAATGCAACACAAAATAAAGACCACTGCTATTCTGCATGTAGTTTATCACATTTGCTGATAAACCTCATAAATGTTTTTATGCTGCCCTTCCCCTCCCATAGTTAGTGTTTTGGTAGATAGTTGGGAAATGACAAAAATAATGATGCTGCCTTTAGAAAAAAAGCAAGTGAAATGTTCGTGGGGTTATGTCAAGAACATGAAGACAATTTAAAATGAGAGTTTGGATAATGTTTTATGAGAAGTTACTGGGATGTTATCCATAGAGATGGATACAGAGTCTGTTGAATTTAAGATTATTGTTTACATGACTAAAGATATACAAAACCAGATTGCATAATTTCCTCATAGGAAAAGGTCATTCATGTGTAGATTTTAGGGAAATAATTCAGTGTTTGGCTGGTTAATTATTAAATGGTAAAGCCCCAGAATTACATTAAACTTATCTGTGTATATGTAGGCTGGAAATCATACATACAAATTATATTCCCTGGTTTTCAATCTATTTTACAAGGTCAGTGTGTTGTCAATTTGAAGTACTTACAGTGAGCTTTCTGGGGACTAGTTATTTCCCTTGGAACCTACATAATAGATTATGAATCTTTTCATAGAATTTTTCATCTCTTTGTTTCTCAGTGTATAAATTGCTGGATTGAGGAGAGGTGTAAAAACAGAGTAAAACACAGCAAGAAATTTGTCCAACCAGGTGATGCTGAGTGGACACACATAGATGAAAATACAGGGCCCAAAGAAGAGTACCACCACTGATATGTGGGCAGTGCAGGTGGACAGTGCCTTAAATGCACCAGTTTTAGAGCTTTGTCTAACAGTGAGGAGAATATATGTGTAGGATATCAGCAACAGAATAAAGCAGCTTACACCCACAACTCCACAGTCAGCATTCATTAAAATGTCCAAGTTATGGGAATCCATGCAGGCCAGCTTGATTACCAGTGGTATGTCACAGAAGAAGCTGTCTATCTCCCTGGGGCCACAGAAGGGCAGCTGTACAATCACCACTATGTGACTCAAGGCATGCACAAAGCCAATGGTCCAGGAAGTCAACACCAGTTCTATGCACCATTGAAGGCTCATAATGCTAGAATACTGGAGTGGTTTGCAAATGGCCATGTAACGGTCATACGCCATTACCACCAGAAGTACCATCTCACCTGCAGCAATGAAATGAGCAAAGAAGATCTGGGACATGCAGCCTCCAAAGGAAATGGTCTTGTTCTCCTTGAGAAAGTCTGTGATCATCTTAGGAGTGCTCACTGAGGAAAGCCACATGTCAACAAAGGACAAGTTGGCCAACAAGAAGTACATGGGGGAGTGGAGATGAGAGTCAGTGATGATTAAGATCATGATGACAATGTTTCCAGATGCAATGATCAGATAAAACAGCAGAAATATCATGAAGAGTAATGCCTGAATGTTCTGTGAGTGGTCAAGTCCCAGAAGTACAAATTCAGATACTGTTGATTGATTTCCTCCACCCATTTTATCCAACATGTCCTCTGAAATAATGTAGAGAGAAGGATAGATTACCAACAGTTCAGTGACGTAGAATACACCCTGAAGAATTTGACTTTCACATTGAAATTTAACATCTATGTGTGAAACTGAAGAGTATAAATTCAAATTATAAAGTATAACTGCAAATCTTAGCAACATATAAATGGAATAATGTTCCAAAGTAAAAGCTAACACATCAATATTAACTTTCCAAGAAGTAAAGCATGAGATGAAAATTGTAGACAAATAATTTCTTAGGTGCATGAGAAAAGCAGCTGAAGGGTAAGAATGATGTGGCTTTGCCAGGATGCTACCTTCTGCCCACTAATCCAGAAAAAAGTCTAAATGTGGCACCAAGAATCATTATATGACATAAAAAAATGAAGTTATAAAATGGGAAAATGGTGGCAAATTGCATTGACTTTTCAATACAAATAATTTGATACAATCATACCATTTCCTTGTATTATGTTTAATAATTTTTTTTCAATCATTGGAACCTGTTCTAAAAGGTACCATCAAATTACAACTTTAGCTTTATGAGAGGAGCTGTAGAGAAGGCCATATGATAAATGTCTTGGCATGACCATTGAGATGCAAAACCAGGCACACAATTTATCATTACTTAAAATATATACTAGGATTTATTTACTAAGTTAAATTTTTTGATTAGCAAAAAAGGATCATTGTAGAATCATGTAGAAAAGAATTAACCAAACACAAATGGTACTGAAACTTAGATTCAAGCTTAATGAACTCTGAAAGTCCCATATAATTTAAGACTGTCATTAGCAAGTGTTTATCTTCAATTATATTAATAGATATCAAAAAATCCTAAACTTTGAATTATTATAGTCTCCTGACCATGAGGAGTACAAACGTCCATATCCATCCTTCTATCTCTCTATTTAACACTTTTCTATAATATATATATTGCTTGTAACATGAGAATAAATTACTTGCACACACAATCAAAGTTAATCTTTGACTATTAGTGCTGAGTGAATCTGAAATTAGACCTCAGAGAACACCAGTTATTCACCTCTAATTATAATGGCCTTGCTGATATTAGTCTTGAAATAAATTGACAATTCTCAAGTTGGATGGTGGACAAATAATTGCTCATTTTCTTTCCCCTTCATTAATTCTCTCTTGGCATTGTTTCAATTTGTGTGTCTTATCTTCTTCCATCCTTTGAAACCTCTATGGCAGGGCTGAAGAGAACAGGTGAGTAATAAATATCACCATACCTGGAGTACTATTCACTTCCCTTTCTCTGAGGACACAAGGCGTAGGATAAGGATGAAAAGAGAAAGTCCTCCTGAAGAAATCTAGTAACACATAAACATTTGCTATGGAAAGAATGAAAGAAGATAATAGTCTTGTAACTTCTAAATCAACATTTTTCTCTAGGATACATTTACTGAGTTTCTAAGGAAAATACACTGATATAATATACAATCGATTTGTGTCCCTTGAAAAATGTGAATAATCTGTTTTTCTCAAAACTTAATTCCTTTTCAACAGAAACCTTCCAGGACAAATGTTCAAACATCAGTTTTGTACCTGCTATGACTGTTTACATAGATGATAGTGATATCTCAAATGTGTTTTAGAGAGGAGTTTGCTAACAGGTGACTTACGCACATTCTTAGGAAACAATTGTCCAATCATACAACTTTCAAAAAATCAGTTTTGGAGTTGTTATTATTCAAATATTGATAGATTAGTTACAGTACTATTTAATATTGACCAATAATTGGCAGAGTTAGTGAACTAAACACCTGTTTTAAATCACTCACAGCTGAGTGAACTCTCACTCCAGTGCTTGGATTATGACCTTACACTAACAATATTTCTGTTTCCATTTCCTTACTGCTGAAAAAAGCACACTCGATTTAACAGACATGTGGTGAAAACATGAAAGAAAATAAACAGAAAACAAGGTTTTCTATAGCACATATTAGTTATTTGCCTGTCTGATTGATTGATTGATCCAAAGACCTTGTGTTTGCAGCAAGCACTGTACTACTTGAGCCATGCTCCAGGGCTTTTGTTTTTAGTTTTTGAGACAGGGTCTTGCTACCTGTGTCTGGCCTGGACTTGAGCTCAAGATCCTTCTGCCTCCACCCCCAGAATAGCTGGGATCACCACCATGTTCTATTGTGCCCAGCTATTCTCCATTCCTTACAGTGGATCTTGAAACAATATTTTTCCCACAGCTATGGGCAGTAATTGTATTGTCCTTGTGAACTTTCTCTGTGGGCAAAATATATATTATCACCTTTCCTTAAAGTACCTGCTAACATTTCCTCTAATTTGCCATGTGCCTAAACAGGAAATACTTGGTGTACAACTGCAAAGGCCATCTCAGACATGCCACCTCCTTTCCAGGAACATAACAGCAGTTCCACTCTTAACTTCTCTTGCTTGGAGGGGTTTTATTAATATTGTTTATTCATTTATTCACATGTGCATACATTGTTTGGGCTATTTCTCCCCCCTATGTCCCAGCCCCTCCCTCTCCCCTCCACCCTCACTCACTTCCAGGAAGAACCTGTTCTGCCCTTATCTTATTAATATTTTAGAGAACTACAGTCAAGAGAACATTCTATCAAAGCATTTTTTGAATTTTTACCTTTAAATTGGGGATAATTCTCACAGAAAGGAAAGTGTTAGCTTTGAAATTAATGAAATTAAAAAGTTGGAGAAATGAATTGTTTTTAGAAGTACTGAAAAACAACAGAGTTCATTTTTCCCCTTCCATAAAGCGTTGCTCTATAAAACTGATAAACTCTATGATATTCTCAATATTCGTGTTTTGTGAGATTATGCTAGGAGTTACACAACTCAATAGATTCCCAAAGATGCATCATGTTGAGGTACACAGTGTGTTCCAATAAGTTTTGAGCTTTTCTTTTTTTCTCACGTTGTGAATTTCAACACCATTTCTGTAGTAACCATGTTTTACATCTCTCATTAGACTTGTAACCCTTTTTACTTATCTCTCTGTGGTAAATATTATGTTATTATCTTACATAGTATGCACTCCCTTATGCAACAACTTGTTGGCCCTTTTGAACATGGATAACTGGCTTCTTCTCACATTGATTAACAGGAAAAGAACTGCAATCTTCTGACAGAAGTCTGACAATGCGTTTGAGACTGTGCACTTTGGTGGCATGTGCACTGTCATGAAGACAATAGAAATTCCAGTATGAATAGGAGAGCAGTAAAAAAATCCATGAACCATCTTCTGAAAATGTTAGAAGACAAAGAAGCATCCTCAACTTCACGTATGCTGCACAGAAATATTTTAAGAGTTCTCTTAAAGAAGAAGAACAGAGATGGAGATGACTTACTAAACAATTCCTTTTCTTAGGTCAGATTCTCTTTCATCTTCTCTTCTGACGTGTGCTTCCAACATCAATGATGAGTGGAGAAATTATCTATGGAAGAGCATCCCTGAGTCTGACAATATATTCACTACCCGAAGAAGTCCCTTGGGTGAAAATTACCTGTTCTATGTTCTGAACAAGACAAGAACCATTGAAATAATCAATTTGGACATGTCCTGGGGATTTCTCTGTAGAAGTGATGTCAAATGTTGCAGACTTGTGAAATCAGAACAGTGAGACAAGCAAACCTTCATATAAATCAGAACGCCATTAAAATTAGTGAATTCTAAAGATAATTCATTTGAGAAATAACTACTAAGTAGGTGCTGTTTGCAATTTTGTTCAGTAATTGTGCAATTATGTAATATATGTAATCAGAATAAATTACAATTTTACTTTCAGTTGCAAGAGAGGTCATAGACTACACCATAAGCAGAAACATGCTGTTGACAAAGCTCCTTAATGCATGTCAAGGTTGTTTCAATAGGTAGGCAGTCTTGGTCAAACGACTGATGTGTCTCAGTACATGCTAGGATTGGGTGAGGAATGACAGGTCTGTACCAAATTTCACATTATAAACATAGCCTTAGTTTTTTTAAAGGTACATTGATGTGAACTTAAATATATTTTTGATCTCTTAGATTTAAAAGCAATTTTATTGCAGTACAATTGCCATATGATAAAGTGATTATATTTAAAATGCATTATTTAATACAGTTGACACATACATACAACTATGAAAATATCATCACATTCTGTATAGGGAACATGTGCCACCACCCCAAAGTTCCCTTGTGCTTTGATAACCTCTCCTTCCAGGTCTTCCCCCATCTTCCCTCTCTGGACAACCACTGATGTCTATTCTATTACTAATTTTACATGTTCTAGGTTTTGTATAAATGAATTCAACTAGTATGTCTTCTTTCTAAAAAATGATTTATTTTACAAATTATACCTAGTTTACTGTTTACTTTGTTTTTGTCTGTATTAGTAGACTATTGCTTTACACTAATGAGTGGAATTCACTTGTACTTGTATACCACAATTTTGCAATCTGCTCACATACTGAGGGACATTTGTGTCACTTCCAGTTTTGGGGTCATATAATAAGGTTGTTGTGCACATTTGTATACAAATCTGGGTAATGTGAATATTTTAATATTATTGATACTTATTTCATGGCCCAGAATATTAACAAGCTTGGTAAATATATGTGCACTTTAAAAAGCAGTGTCAGAGCACCTGCTTAGCAAGCAGGAGGCCCTGAGTTCAACCTCTCAGTGCTGCTGAAAAAGTAATCTGATATTTGCTGAAAGTACTATGCAAACATCACTCATATCAAACTGAGTCTTCCTTGAAGAATTGTTGTCATATCAATTATTTGAGAAATGAGGCCTCTAAGTGAGATTCTCTCTGTTAATATTATTTGTTCTGAAATATACTTTGTATGTTATTAAAATATTCACTGATAGTTTAACATTATAGTTATTTCTTATCTTTCATTTATCCTTTTTAAGAGAATAAACTTTTCCTTTACTGTTGTGTGGTGTCATCTTTGATGATGATATTTTCACTAAAAATTTGTGG